AGGAAGCCATTGCTCTGCCCTTGTGTTTGGCCTGCAATCAAACACAAGGTCAAGTACCCTGAGATTGAGTCTTGTTGCTCAATAGTTCTCCAAGTGAGGAAAGACAGGGCCACTTTGACCACAGCTGAGGTCCTATAGTGTCAAGAGGTAGAGACAGTGGTCTGCCCACAAGCACAGGAGCCTAGTAGAGCCACACTCTACTAGGGCAAGCTCTTGCCTCCTGAGAGGGACAGGAACAACTGCTGTTTTAAGTTCCCCGTGGCACTGAACTAATCTGCTGTTGTTCCTATGGCCATGCCTTGTGGGTGCTGGCATGCCCTGCACTATGGACTCAATCAGGAAACCAGGATGTAGGTAGTGAGCACTGAGGATCTGCAGGCAGCCAGCCCTGGCAGGGGGTGAGTCTTCTTCAACTTGGCTCTTGCAACCCCGATGTCACCACTGCAGGCAGGTTACGTTGTACCTTTGGTCTGACACGAAGTCTGCCTTTGTAACTTTGCCCCTTGTTACCTTTGAAGGCAACAGGCATGGGGGAAAGTGTAAGTTTGGGAGGGCCAACCTTTGAACCTTGGGGGTGAGGGGCTGTAGGACATGCTGAGGGAAGGGCTGACACTTGAATAGACACAGTGACAGCTTCTCCCTTGCCCAGGAGTCCAGATAGATGTGGATGGCCAGGAAGGGCCATGGTCCAGTATTCAGAGCACCAAATCCTCCCTTGTCCTACACTCAAATCTACCATTACCTGCTGTGCAGTGCAGGGTCTGCACTGCCCTGAGGAACTGAGTCCTCATTCCAGTATGTTTGCTCTCCCAGCTCTGCAATCAGAGGGGACAGCATAGGGAGAGCCAGCCCCACCAAGTTGTAAATCAGAGGGAATTTTCACCCTACTTCTGCTTCCTCAGAGGTTCCCTGGCTTGGGGAACAGAGCACTGGGGATCTGGCATGAGGTCCAGAGAGCCTGGTGACCATAGGGAGGGCCCAGCTGCAGGGGAAGGGCACCTGGCCCATCCCTGCTCTCACACAGGGCCACTCACACACACATCTGCGAGGGAAAACAAAGAATCCTTCATCCTTGTCTTGGCCCTCCCAGAACACCCCACCCCTCAGCCCCTCAGACTCCCAGTCAGTGGGACTCTCCCAGTCTCACCCCTTCCTGCTCTGAGTCTGGAATCAGGATTTGTCACCACCGGTGACAAAAGCTATGGTGCAAGAGTCCACCTTCACCTAGAGCAGGAGCCCCTCCCTCCCCACTGGCCGGTGGTGCCTCTCCTCACCCTCCTCGACCCTGTCCACAGTAGCAGGCGCACTGCCCACATCCGGCCTTTTCTGTCTCTCACAGGTTTTTCCTCCTCCATCTCCCTCAGGCCTCAGTCTGGACCCCTAGGTTCAGTCTTTGTGGAGGGTCTTAATTTTCCATTCTCAGTTTTAATATCTTTCCCAGGCTGTCTTTTCCCAGGTCTGTTCTCCTTCTCTATCCCCATCACTCCAGTATTGTATTTGTGAATGAATGAATGAATTTACATTGTTCCACCCTCTCTTCCCTCCCATCTCGCAGTTTCTGCTCCATCTTGGCACTAATGTGTCCCTCTTCAACAGACACGTGTCCAGGTCTCCCACCAACCACCCTGACTGTGGGCCCAGGCAATCCCCACATGCCACCCTGCCCAGTAGCTCTGGGCTCCAAACTCTCCCTTATAAAGTCAGGCAGCAGCAGACACCAAGGAATGCTGCTGTTGCCCATGACTCATGCTGGCTGCAGGGCTGCTGGCTGCCTCCAGGCCACCAGGAATGCAGTTGGAGCTGGCACACCGGGATTGATTGCCAGGGAGGGGTGAGCTGGGGTGGGGGTTCCCAGACAGGTGGCAGGGCCAGGACTGCAGGTTTTCGAAGAAGTGGGAGCCAAGTCCCCCACTGTAGGCAGAGCTGCAGAGAACCCTGATAGTGTGGAACTCATTAAGCAGGAAGTGGGGATGCAGGGCTGACAGTGTGGAATTGATCCCCCGGGAAGTGGAGAACCAGGGATGAGGAGGCAAGAGGCCCAAGCCAGGCTCCCTAGACTGTTCTGGAACAAGAGTGATGCTCCCATCTACAGCTAGGATGAGGCAGAGGGAAGAAGGGAGGCAAAGACAAAGACAGGAGGAGATGAAGAAAAGCAGAGGAAGAGACAGGCAACAGGGTGACTGAGAGGCCAAGACAGAGACAAAGACAGATGGGACAGAGCCATGGAGACAGTCTGGCTAGCCCTAGGGGTTCTGAGAACTCAGAAGAAGCAGGGCCTGCAGCAGTCCCCACACAAGAAAGGCACCCATGTGTGAGACCTGCCCCTAGCTAGCCTGGGGTAGGGACCGCCTGATAGGTACATACTCTGCCCCTTGTCCCAAGAACCTGTTGACAGGCAGACAGTTGGGCATTATGATGAAAGTAAGCCTCGTGTTTGTGGTCCCCCAGGAGCAGGGACCAGGTTCCCATTCATAAACATCCTAGGAGTGCCCCCTAAGGAGCCAGAAGATACCCATGTAACCATGCTCTGCAAGAGGGAGGCTGACTTGCTAAGGGCCCATGTGAGAAGGGGGTTGGTAGGGAAGGACACAGGCTCTTTCTGTGTTCCCAGCCCTTGTCTTGGGAACAGGGATAGAGCCACCCAACCCTGGGCCCAGACAGCAGTGCCCTGTTCGTGGGCAGGAAGGGTGGGATGTTATGGGTCTTTTCCACCTTCAGTAAATGTCTCGGATGGATGGGCGCTGAGCAGGAGGGGCAGGAACCCTCCAGGAACACAGAGCTCCTTTCATGGAGCTGGCGCAGCCAAGTCATGGTGGGTAGGCACCAAGGGGCAAGACAGGCCTGGGCATAATCGCCGCTCTGTCCTGGCAGCTCCCAGCCCACACACGCACACATGCACAAACACACAGCCTTACATAAATCCTAAACACACCCAGCAGCCACCCACACACTTGCACACACGTGCAAATACACATCTCTGTAGCCCTGGACACTCACCTATATGTCTTTTTCCAGGCAGAGAAACCCATACCCAGGGGGCTCTTCCCATGCCTTCACTTATCTCCAGACCCTGTGGCCATCCTGCTCCCCCTATTCAGAAGGACTGGCACTGCCCAGGCAGCCCACAACATGAACTCTCTGCATACCCATATGCAGATGGGGGAGGGACCTCCATTAGTAATCCCCAGACAGAAGGAGGGAGGAGTGGGAAGGAGTACTCATTTCACAAAATGGTGAACTGGAGACCAGCACGCAGCCCTTCTCCAGCTGCTGCAGGCCTGAGCTGGTGTTTTGATGAAGTCCAGGGAAGATCTCCAGGCAGTGCTGATGCCTCCTCTCTTCCCCCACCACCCAACACCCCATCAGGCCACTAAGCTTGGCTTATGCATGTTCCCTTTCCCTCTATTCCTCTGTCTTCAACTTTCCAGACCCTCTATATTTCTGGCAGGCTCCCACTGTCCTTGCTATCCATTCTCCTCCCTCTCTGCTCCTCTACACCCCCGAGGAAGCCCTTGGGGATTGACCTCTAGTTCATTACTTCTTTTTTTTCATCCTCATTTGTGTACACAATAACTGATTTTAGAGAGAGAGGAAAGGGGGGAGAGAGAGAAAGAGATCAATGTGAGAAACTGATTGGTCCTAATGGTGAATAGAACCCACAACCTAGGCATGTGCCCTGACCAGAAATCGAACCTTCCACCTTTCAGTTTATGGAATAGCTCTCCAACCAACTAAACCACACTGGCCAGGGCTAGCTCATTACTTCTTTATCCTGCACCCCCTATCCATTCAAAGTCCCTTTCCCACTGCCCTCCCTCCAGGACAGAGTCTAGGTTCTTGCAATTGCAGCCCATCAGAGACAGTAAGAGAAACAGAAGGAGGCCAGGAAGTAGGGGTGGTGGGGGTGTAGGGGGCACTGTCAGAGTTTCCAAAACCCTGGCCAGCAAGGCCTCAGAAACCTCTGTTGCGGCAGGGTGGAGGGGCTGCCTGACCTATGCACTCCCAGCATAGCACAAGGCTGCTTGTATGAGTCCTTCCCCGCCTGGTCTCACTGGAAACAGCAGGGCCCAGCCCCTCAATGAGCCCATTCAGACTCTAGCCTTCTGGAAAGTACCTCTACTTCCTGCTGCCCTCCCACTTAGGCCTGGAAAACCAGGCCAAACTGGTCTGCTCTGAGGGCACTGGAGGCAAGTTGCTCAGTGGTTAGAGCCAGCCAACTACTTTAGTTCCTGCCTGGTCCAGAGCCCTGAACTTGGCCATGCTCAGAAGGTTTATATCCACCTTTAGCAAAAGGAAGCATGGATGGGTATGTGGGCTCAACTCCCATGCAGGACTCACTCCTTATGGGTGGCAGGCAAGTAAATGTTTAGCAACAGCCTCTCTGGGAGACAGGGAGCCCTAACTTGTCACATTGGCCTCTTTCCCTGGTATAAACATTCTCACTGGGCAACATCACCTGGCTCACAAAAATCTCTAAAAATTTACGATCACCTCTTGCCAGCTGCTGTGATCTCTGGCCCACCATGTTGGTGACTCTGTTCTGCAGGGACCACATGCCCCACCCTCTGCTCTGTAGCTGTGGCTGCCCTCAGTATAGCGTGCTGCATTTTATTCTAAAGAATCAGTGGTCTGCTTAGCTGGGTAGCTCGGTTAGAGCATCATCCTGATACACAAAGGTTGCAGGTTCAATAAATACCTGGTCAGGACACATACAGGAATCAACCAACGAATGCATAAATAAGAGGAACAACAACCTCTCTCCCTCTCTCTCTCTCTCTCTCTCTCTCTCTCTCTCTCCCTCCCTCTCTCCCCCCCCTTTCTCTCTAAAATCAATAAATAATTTTTTAAAAAAAGGAATCAATGTCCTTGCAGATAAGTCACCCCATAGGTGCCCAGCACCTGCCAGTCCCCTGGCATGTCCCTCACCAACACTGAGGTCTACCGGGCCTGCTGGACCATGAGGGCCAGATGGTTTTTCAGTTCTTATTTGACTCTTTTAGCTTCCAAACTAAGGCTCTGATGTTTCCAACAAGTGCTGGCAATGGAGATGATTAGAGGGCATTTGGACCCAGCCCAGGGAAGAGCCCCTCAGGTGGTGCTGGCTGCCTTAGGGCGTGCAAGCCTCAGACTCCTCCAGTGGCTACTTCCTCAGGCACATGTCAACTGACACAGGTTGGCCCAGGATGAGCAGGTATGTAGCTGGTGCCAGATCACCCCTATAAAAGCCATCAGCCTTTATTCACTCACACATGGTTTAAGGGAAGCCCAGTGGAGATGAATCATCTCTTTAACCCATTCCTGTCTGCCCTTCCCAGCCCTGGACATCTGCGGGACAGACTCAAAGTTATATTTGGCCCTAATCTCCACAAAGGAATAGACCAGAAATTGTGGCAGCTGGTTGGAGGTCGAGGGAGGTTAACTTTGGGAAAAGGCCTGGAAGGAGGTGTCAACTTAAAAAACGGAAGCGTCCCAGTATGAGACAAAAAGGACGCTGCACAGTGAGCTTTCTGCCTTGGGAGGCCCACTAGCCTGCCCAGCAGACCTTTAGCATCTCCTAGGCCTTGACTTTAATATCAGACCCAGGCTTGGAGAACCCAGCTGTTGTCATTCCTGGCTCCTTAGCCATGGTGGAAACAATGGGACCGGATCTGACTGCTCATCAGGGACCATTAATAGCTCTATAGCAGGATGCAACATGGAGTGATGTAGGAAGTTTTGGCCCATTTGGGGTCCAGCACTGCATGTGGCCTCCATCTGGCTTTAGAACATTTGTTCTTCACTGAACTCAGGCCAACAAGCTGCCTCTGCCACCCCCCAAAGGCAGCTGGGAGCATGGCCCAAGAGAGAAGCAAAGATGGGTGGGCTGCCTGACAACACCACCACCAGGCCTCAGCAATGGCCCCAGCCCACCTACAGAGGTAGGACAGAGCATGGAAAGCATGGCCAAAGTATAAGGGCACTTAGGAGAAGGAATCTGAGCTGGGGTCAGTTGGGTTCTTCTGGAACTCCAGTCCTGGGATCTGTGAACACCAGGCAGGTGATCATGCCAGTGATGGTTCCCATTGGGCCAGGGAGGAGCCAGACCCAGGATGGAGATTCTGCTGGAGTCCAGGGGAGGAGAGCCATTGTTGGCAGAGGCCCCTAGCCCCAGAAATCTCTGAAGAGGAGACCCAAGTTGCTTGGAATTGCTGGGTCTGGCCTTCTTCAGAGATAAGATCTAGGCTGGGCACCTTACAGCCACATGGAAAAACCATGAGGGTGTACCAGCATAAAACCCTTCCCTAAAGCCCACCTATCAACTCTGTAGTACCTCCCCTTCTCCAGGCAAGGGCCTGAGACTTAACCAAGACTCCTGCTCCCACACAGCCTCCTTCTTCGGTGAGAACCACCTGGAGGTGTTTGTGGCCACAGTTCTGACCAACATAGACCTACAGCTGCAGTTCTCCACATCCCAGCCTGAAGCCCTACTTCTTCTGGCAGCAGGCCCAGCCAACCACCTCCTCCTGCAGCTCTACTCTGGACACCTGCAGGTCAGTGACAGTTCCCTGCTGGACTCCAGCTTTCAATGGCCTGTAACCAGCTGTGTGACCTTGTGCAAGTAGTTCCCACCTTGGGGTCTCAAGTTCTCCACTGTGAGATGGACAACAGTATTCCAGAAGCTGTGAGTCCCTCCTGCTCTCCAGCCTCACTTCTCACCACAACTGTATGTTGGGGCCCACCCTGCCTGGTCTCAGGAAGCTGTAACCCCGGTGACTTAGGCTGAGTGAGAGACCTCCGAACCAGGAGCCACTAAGGAGACAAAACTTATTTCCCTGGCATGAACTCTGCCTGTTCTGTGCCTGGCCTCCTATGCTTGATCAGTTAGCCAATGACGGGTAAGATTTCCCACGGGGGGAATAACCTAGACAGGCATGATCATGAAGAGGCCTCAGGGAAGAGACTTGGGGCTGTGGAAATGAAGGGGTGATCGACATCAATCCCTGCCCCCTTGGCTTTGTCACAGCCTGAGTCCTTGTTCTTAGTTGCGAGAATTTCAAGTCTCCTGGCTGCCTTTGTCTCCTCTGGCCAACTCAGGCCTGCAGAAATAACAGGGGCGGTGCAGCCCAGACCAGAGTCAGCGGACCCCTGGGGTAATCAGGCCTGGGACATAGAATATGCAAAATCCTGTGAGATCTGCTTGCTGGAGGATGCTCTTGAATTAGAATATGAAGGCACGGGCAGGAAACAAGACTAGCCTTTTAGGTCCTGTAGTGATAAAACCCCAAACTCTGCCCAGAATCCCAACAGGAGTTCTGTCAGACCCTTTGAAAATTACCTATTCCTTTTTATCTTCCCTGCCAGACTGTTAATCCACAAACTGTGTCTGTATTCTTAATAAAAACTTGCCTGGGCAAGAAAACGGGACACTCTCCACTAGAGAAAGTAGCCATTTCATCCCAATCCCCCACAGGACTCGGTTGTCCCTGTGTATGTTTTTCTCGTGTTTCAACGAGCATCCGCAGCAGGGATGGATACTGCTGGCCAGTATCCACCACAACTGTAGCTGGCCCTTTGGGTGCTGATAGCACTAATGGCTTTCAGTTCCCTGGTTGTCTATGGTCTCTTGCTGCCAGGCCTTTCCTCACTCCACTCCCTCTGCCTGGTTCCTGTCTCACCCACTCCATGCACCTGCCCAACTCTAGCCTCTCTTTCAAGTCTCAGTGTGAACATCCCACCCGCCCCACCCCACCCCACCCCCCATGCTAACCTAGGCTCTGTATAACACCAGTCATGCCACAACTTTCTCATCTTTCCATTTCATCCTTCAAGTCACCACAGGCTATATTGCAAGGATTATCTGGCACTCTCTTGAGGCTCCCCCCTAACCATGAAGGGTTTGAGAACCCAAGGTCTTAGTCCAAGTGAGAGCCATCTGTGTCCACACCCCACTGTGGCCTAGTCATCCACCAGTCCATCTGCTGCTGCCATGGCTTCTCACTGCCATAAGGTGTCACTGTTGAACATGGCCTGGTACAGCCTAGTGCTTATAACCTTCCTCTCTGTCAGAATCAGTGAGGCCACACCCCTACTGAGGGGCTCCATACTTGGACTCCCAAGGTCTCAGTCCTTAATGCTCTGCTATTTCAGTTCCCCTACTCTGCCACCAACCGTCCTACCATCTGGCTGGGGGCAGCACTTCACCAAAGTCGGCTCTGGTGTCCATGTCCTGTACACAGAACCGTGTTCCTCTTCTCTCCCCAAAGATCTCCCCTCACTTTAGGTCGGGGAGCTTTTCTTACTAAACCTCTACGATGCAGAGCCTCTGACTGGACTCCGCATCCCTGAACAGTGAGCCTGGCTGCCTCTGTGACTGCCTTCCCTGCGCCCGCCCCATCTTTGCCCCACTCAGGGCCCTCAGCAGAGAGTTTCTAGGTGCCCATGATACAATCTTGTGTATACTAAGGTAATTTTTCTGGCATCTCTCACCCAGAAAAAGAGGGAAAAATAGCCCAAGTTGGTGTGGCTCAGTGGGTTTAGCACCAGCCTGCAAACCAAAAGCTTGCCTGTTTGATTCCTGGTTGAGGCACATGCCTGGTTTGTGAGCCAGGCCCCCAGTTGGGGGCATGCGAGGAGCAATGGATTGATGTTTCTCTGACACATCAGTACTTCTCTCCCTTTCTTTCTCCCTCCCTTCCCCTCTCTCTCTAAAAAAAATAATAATAATAAAATCCTTTTCAAAAAATGAAAGAGAGAAAGAATAAAAAATCCAGGTTGAATGTCTAGGACAGCATCTTCTAGATGTCAGTTATTCGTGGACAGGGACTATGTCTGACTCATATTAGGGTCCAGAGCCTGTCCAGGCCTCCCAGGGATTACTCTGGTGAGTGTTTATGGAGTGAGTAAGGAGAGAGGGGTGGCATGAGCAGCCCTTGTCCTAGGCCCTCCTCTGCAGACCCCAAGCATTCCTGGGGACCAACTTTGCTTTTCCAACAGAAGTGATAGATTCATAGTGCTGTCTTCCCCAATCCCTGTCTCTCCTCAGGTCAGACTTGTGCTAGGCCAGGAAGAGCTGAGGCTACAGACGCCGTCAGAGATGCTGCTGAGTGACTCTGCCCCCCACACAGTGGGGCTGAAGGTGTCCGACGGCTGGGCCTGGTTGTCAGTAGATGGGCTCTTCAACACTTCAGCCCCAGTCCGGGGGGGCCCTCTGGAGGTCCCATATGGGCTCTTCGTGGGAGGCACTGGAGGCCTGGGCCTGCCCTATCTCAGGGGAACTGGCCGACCCCTGAGGGGTTGCCTCCATGTAGCTACCCTCAATGGCCACAGCCTCCTACAGCCACTGACCCCAGATGTGCATGAGGGCTGTGCTGAAGAGTTTTCTGCTGGTGATGATGTGGCTCTGGGCTTCTCTGGGCCCCACTCACTGGCTGCCTTCCCTGCTTGGAGCACTCAGGTTGAGGGCATCCTGGAGTTTATACTCACCACGAGAAGTCAGCAGGCACCCCTGGCCTTCCAGGCAGGGGGTCAGCGTGGGAATTTCATCTACTTGGATATATTTGAGGGCCATTTGCGGGCTGTGGTGGAGAAAGGCCAGGGCACTGTGTTGCTCCACAACAGTGTGCCTGTGGCTGATGGGCAGCCCCATGAGGTCAGTGTCCACATAGATGCTCACCAGCTGGAGATCTCTGTGGACCAGTACCCAACACGTACTTCCAACCGTGGGGTCCTCAGCAACCTGGAGCCTCGAGGCAGTCTCCTCCTCGGGGGGCTAGATGCAGAGGCGGCTCGCCATCTCCAGGAACACCGCCTAGGCCTGGCACCAGGGGCTGTCAGTGTCTCCCTACTGGGCTGCATGGAGGACCTCAGCATCAATGGCCAGAGGCAAGGGCTCCGGGAAGCCTTGCTGACTCGTAACATGATGGCCGGCTGCAAGCCTGAGGAAGACGAATATGAGGAGGATGCTTATGGCCCCTACGAAGTTTTCTCCACCCTGGTACCCGAGGTTTGGCCAGCCATGAAACTGCCTGAGCCCTGCGTGCCTGAACCTGGACTGCCTCCTATCTTTGCCAACTTCACCCAACTGCTGACCATCAGCCCCCTGGTGGTGGCTGAGGGTGGCACAGCCTGGCTCGAGTGGCGGCACGTGCAACCCACCCTGGACCTGAGGGAGGCCGAGCTGCGCAAATCCCAGGTGCTATTCAGTGTGAGCCGTGGGCCACGTCACGGCAAGCTAGAGCTGGACATTCCAGGTGCGCAGGCTCGGCAAATGTTCACCCTCCTGGATGTGGTGAACCGCAAGGCCCGCTACATCCACAGTGGCTCTGAGGACACCTCAGACCAGCTGGTGCTGGAGGTGTCTGTGACGGCTTGGGGACCTGTGCCCTCCTGCCTCCGGAGGGGCCAAACTTACATTCTGCCCATCCAGATAAACCCTGTCAATGACCCACCGCACATCATCTTCCCGCATGGCAGCCTTATGGTGATCCTGGAACACACACAGAAGCCCCTGGGGCCTGAGGTTTTCCAGGCCTATGACCCAGACTCCACCTGTGAGGGCCTTACCTTCCAGCTCCTCAGTGCCCTGGCTAGCAGCCCTGTGGAACGCCGAGACCAGCCCGGGGAGCCAGCAACAGAGTTTTCCTGCCGGGAGCTAGAAGCGGGCAGTCTTGTCTATGTCCACCGTGGTGGGCCTGCCCAGGACCTGATATTCCGGGTCAGTGATGGGCTGCAGGCCAGCCCCCTGGCCACACTGAAGGTGGTAGCTGTCCGGCCAACCATTCAAATCCGCCACAACACGGGGCTGCACCTGGCCCAGGGCTCAGCTGCACTGGTCTCGCCCGCCAACCTGTCAGTGGAGACAAATGCTGTAGGGCAGGATGTGAGCGTGCTATTCCGAGTCACCGGGGCCCTGCAGTTTGGGGAGCTGCAGAAGCAGGGGGCAGGAGGGACAGAAGGCACAGAATGGCGGGCCACACAGGCCTTCCACCAGAGGGACGTGGAGCAGGGCCGAATGAGGTACCTAAGCACTGACCCACAGCACCGCACGGAGGACACAGTGGAGAAGCTGGCCTTGGAGGTGCAGGTGGGCCAGGAGATTCTAAGCAATCTGTCCTTCCCAGTGACAGTCCAGAGAGCCACTGTGTGGATGCTGCGGTTGGAGCCACTACACACTCAGAACACCCGGCAAGAAACCCTTACCACAGCCCACCTGGGGGCCACCCTGGAGGAGGCCGGGCCAAGCCCCACCACTTTCCACTATAAGGTGGTTCAGGCCCCCAGGAAGGGAAATCTGCGGCTCCAGGGCACACGGCTGTCAGAAGGTCAGAGCTTCACCCAGGATGACTTGAAGGCTGGTCGGGTGACCTATGGGGCCACAGCACGTGCCTCAGAGGTGGTTGAGGATGTCTTCCATTTCCGTGTCACAGCTCCACCACACTTCTCCCCACTCTATGCCTTCCCCATCTATATTGGCGGTGACCCAGATGCTCCCGTACTCACCAATGTTCTCCTGTCAGTGCCTGAAGGTGGTGAGGCCGTCCTCTCTGCTGACCACCTCTTTGTCAAGAGTCTTAACAGTGACAGCTATCTCTATGAGGTCATGGAGCAGCCCCGCCATGGGAGGTTGGCATGGCAGGGGGCACAAGATAAGACCACCACAGTGACATCATTTACCAATGAAGACCTCCTGCATGGCCGGCTGGTGTACCAGCATGATGACTCCGAGACCACGGAAGATGATATCCCATTTGTGGCTACCCGCCAGGGTGAGGGCAGTGGTGGCATGGCCTGGGAAGAGGTACGTGGTGTCTTCCGAGTGGCCATCCAGCCAGTGAACGACCACGCCCCTGTGCAGACCATCAGCCACATCTTCCATGTAGCCCGGGGTGGGCGGCGGCTACTCACTACAGAAGACGTGGCTTTCAGCGATGCTGACTCCGGCTTTACTGATGCCCAGCTGGTGCTTACCCGCAAGGACCTCCTCTTTGGCAATATTGTGGCTGTGGATGAGCCCACTCGGCCCATCTACCGCTTCACCCAGGAGGACCTCAGGAAGAGGCAAGTACTATTTGTGCACTCAGGGGCTGACCGTGGCTGGATCCAGCTGCAGGTATCTGATGGGCAGCACCAGGCCACTGCACTGCTTGAAGTGCAAGCCTCGGATCCCTACCTCCACGTGGTCAATGGCTCTAACCTTGTGGTCCCTCAAGGAGGGCAGGGCACCATCAACACAGCTGTACTCCATCTGGACACCAACCTAGACATCCGCAGTGGGGATGAGGTCCACTATCATGTCACAGCTGGCCCACACTGGGGGCAGCTGCTCCGAGCAGGCCAGCCAGCCACAGCCTTCTTTCATCAGGACTTATTGGATGGGGTCATCGTCTACAGCCACAATGGCAGCCTCAGCCCCCATGACACCCTGGCCTTCTCTGTGGATGCAGGGCCTGTGCACACAGATGCAACCCTGCATGTGACCATTGCCCTAGAAGGGAAACTGGCTCCACTGCACCTGGTTCAGCACAAGAAAGTCTACGTCTTCCAGGGGGAGGCGGCTGAGATCAGAAGGGACCACCTGGAGGTAGAGGGCTGGGTGGTGGGCAGGAATATGGGCCTTCATGCTGTGTGTGCTTAGATGTTTCAGGTGTACCTGCGGTGGTTTCTGAGTTGGGTGTGTATGCATACCTTGCATCTGTGTGTTGTGTTCTCAAGGGTTTCTGGGGGATCTGTTGTACATACAGCTGCCTATGTGTGTGCATTGTGTGTGTTCCACGTAACATGTGCCTATGTGTACATGCTGCAACTAGCCGTTCAGATTCCTGGGCCCCACCCAGACCCTGAAACCTCTGAAATTGAGCCTCAGAATCTGTATTCTACTAACAACAATTTCTCTGAAGAGTTTTCATGGGAACAACTCTGAGGACTCTAGGCCTTGGAGACAGCCTTAGCTGCCCACTAGGCTCCCATCACCTCAGTTCTTTTCCCAGACCTCAGGCCAGGACCCATGGTCTGGAGAGGGCTGCTGACCCCCAGTAGCCTCATGGAGCAACTGTACGCCTCCCAGCAGGCCCACGAACTTGCTGTGTGACCTCAGGCCAGTCTTTTGCCCTCTCTGGGTCTTATGCTCTTGTACTGCTCATTTCTGAGCCCCTTGCGGTTCTGGCTGTCTGGACTTTCGGGCAGAAACATGTCTGGCATCAGGCTGTCTTTGTCCTGTAGGAAGCAACAATTGAACCAGGTTTAGAAGAGTCTTCTTGGGTTTCAATAACAGGAAATGGGGAGAACTGTAGTACAGGCAGAAGAAATGGTCCAGGCAAAGGCACAGAATCAGGAATGTTAATTTGGGGGTGATGAACAGATGAGGGAGCACCCAGCAGCCCTTGGTCTGGACTGAGTCTGCAAGCTCCACAGAGCCTATAGTGTCTTAGAGTCTTGTGTCTTTAAAGAGAACAGTGTGCTGTCTGGTGGTGAGAAGTGGCAATAGTGGGGGTGGGACAACTTGTGTGTGTGTGCCTGTGTGGGATGACCTTGTGTCCCTGTTCAGATGTCAGTGCTTGATGAGATTATATGTTTGTGTCACTGAACCTGAGGATGTGTGATTGTGTACATCTCAGGGAGTGTGTCTCAGAGGCCATGATGGCCCCCTTCTGTGCCTCTGATGAGTCCCCCTGACCCTCTGTTAACCAGGCAGCCCAGGAGGCAGTGCCGCCTGCAGACATTGTGTTCTCAGTGAAGACACCCCCAAGTGCCGGCGACCTGGTAATGTTGTCTCACGCCACCACTGCGACCGAGCTGCGCAGCCTGGACCCTGTGCGAAGCTTCTCTCAGGAGGCAGTGGACGCAGGCAGGGTCCTATACTTGCATTCCCGCCCTGAGGTCTGGAGTGACTCCTTCTCCCTGGATGTGGCCTCAGGCCTGGGTGCTGCCCTTGAAGGTGTCCACATGGAGTTGGAGGTGCTACCTGCCACCATCCCACTGGAGGCACAGAACTTCAGTGTCCCCGAGGGTGGCACCTGCACCTTGGCCCCTCCACGGATCCGCATCACCAGGCCCTACTTCAGCATGCTGCCAGACCTTCACCTGCAGGTGCTAGAGTCACCCCAGCATGGGACACTGCAAAGAGAGGGAGACCCTCAAAATGAGACCCTCAGTACCTTTTCTTGGAGAGAGGTATGCTGTCAGGGAAGCCCTGGGGAACAGTTCAGTTCTGGGGGCAGAGTGGGGGAGCCCTAGGGATGCCCAGCCTGGGGATGTAAGCAGAGAGGAAGCATGGAGCCCACCTTTGCAGAGTACATCTGTTTTCGATGCCGTGGCTCATTCCTTCTTCACTGGGCAGGTAGAAATGACCATTCCCCATTTCCTTCATCCCTTTATTCCTTCCCTCTGGGAGAAAGGGTTGTCCCCACCTGCAGAAACTGAAGCTCTGAGGGACTCAGTCTCCTCCCCTTCCCAGAGGCATAGTAGGAAGAGTGCTGAATGTGACTCCTAGCTCTTGGCTGGCCTATAGGTGGAAGAGCTGCTAATCCACTATGTTCATGATGGGAGTGAGACACAAACAGACAGCTTCATCCTGGTGGCTAACGCCTCAGAAATCAACCGCCAGAGCCATCCAGTGTCCTTCGCCATCACCATCCTTCCTGTCAACAACCAACCCCCAATCCTCACCACAAACATGGGCCTGCAGGTGAGAGCGATCTAGGACTTCCTCCCACTGTCCCTCCTGGAGAGAGGCCCAATGCCTAGCTTCCCCCTCTCTGAGTCTTAGTTTTCCCCTCCTTAGAGTAGGGACACTGCCACATGCCTCACTAGGTTGTTGGAAAGAGAGAAGAGCTACTGCGCTGAAAATGGAACACAGGTGTGAGGCTTTGCTCTCGGACACTTTAGAAGACCTGTAAACAGCCTTGTGAGTGGCCACACTGGGCCCTGCTCTTTCCAGGACTCACCCTCAACAGGAGGGGTTTTCTGTGGCTTAGGACCAAACTCCTGAAGAAAGTGCTTTCAAGCCCTTAAGGGCTGACTCCAGGTGCAGAGCCACTACATTCCCCACTTCCACCCTCAGCAAGTAAAGCTCGCAGCCTGGTTTCCCAAGCCCCTACCCCTTGCACAGGGCACAGTGGTGGTGCTGTTACCCAGCAGAGGTGAAGGTTGAGGCCCAGACAGGTGACAGAACTTCTCCACAGTCTCAAAAGTAATTATAGACGGAATGGAAAGAGTGTGGCTTGACCAAGGAGTGTGGCTTGACCAGCAAGACAACGGATGAGTAGGACCTTGAATGCTGACTTCTAGGGTGTGGGCTGCAGATCAGCAGGAGCCTTGGAAGCTTCAAAAGAGGGCTGACAGGCTGTCTGTGACGTGAACATTGGGTATTTTGTGGGACAGTATGTGCCGGTCGAGAGCAGCCCAGTGATAGGAAGACCAGCAAGGGCTGTGAGGGCTGCCCAAGGACCACAGGCAGGTCATGCTCTGTGGAAGCTCAGCCACCAGGGGGTGCTATCCACCTTGTTCGCACCAGGAACCTCTATGCAAAGTGACCCTCCTCCTAGAGCTCTGGTAGGGGTCAGCCTGGGGCTGGGTAGGGGAGCCCTGCATGGCAGAGGGCTCAGTTCTCCAGGTATGGAAGCCCCTCCTTCAATACTGCTCACAAGTTGCTAACTCAGCAGGACAAGTAACAGGGCTCTGGGAACAGATCCTGCCCTGCTGGCAGGTAGGAGGGCTGAGGGGCATTCCCCTCCACTCTGAGCATGGGGTGGGGGGAGGGGGCGGGGGGCATTCTGTATCCAGGTGTCCCTCACCCACCCTTGGGGGCTGCTAACTGCATTGATCCCAGTGCTGCTTCAGCTCTTCCTGCCTCCCACCCAATCCCTCACCTGGAAGAGAAGCCCATTTCTAAGTATCCTAGGCAGGCAAAGTCACTGTTCCCATAGACTGCCCAGCCCCTGCCCAGACTCACTATGGAGGGGCTCAGGGACACCTGCCCTGCCTGAGAGACAGCCAGATTGAGCAGTGCTGTTGATCAAGCTTGGGAGTCTTTAGGGGTGAGAAGTCTGTGAGGTAAGAGCTGGGAGCTTCCTGAGGTAGACGGACAAGAGCTGCCCTTGAGGGACAGTCGAGATTAGGGCAGATGGGAGCAGGGAGCCTGGGTGTGGGGGCCCTGGGACAGCAGGGAAAGGTGAATAGTGTGGGCCACTTTGTGCAGGGGGGCCCCATATGGCGCGGTGGGGGCAGAACCTTCACAGGCCTGTGTCCCCAGATGTGGGAGGGGGCTACTGTGCCCATCCCTACGGCAGCCCTTAGGGGCATAGATGGCGACTCAGAGCCTGAGGACCTGGTCTACAGCATCGAGCAGCCCAGCAATGGACGGGTAGTGCTGAAGGCGGCACAGGGCACCGAAGTGCACAACTTCACACAGACCCAACTGGACAGTGGGCTCGTGCTGTTCTCACACCAAGGTGGGTGCCAAGAAGGGGAGGCCCTATGAGGGTCGGGCACCCTGAGGGTGGGCATGGACAGTGAGACCCAGTTCTCCATCTGACCTCAGGGGCCCTGGATGGAGGCTTCCGCTTCAGCCTCTCTGATGGCAGGCACACTTCCCCTGGACACTTCTTCCGTGTGACAGCCCAGAAGCAGCTGCTGCTTTCACTGGAGGGCAGCCAGATGCTAACTGTCTGCCCAGGTGGGTCTGCCAAGGGTAGGTGGCATGCCAGGGTCAGGGTGCCTCTCCAGCAGTCACAGGCCTTGCCCTGGCTCCTGGAAAAGTCTGACAGGCCCCTTTTGCCTCTCACAGGGTCCGTCCAGCCACTCAGCAGTGAGAGCCTGAGAGCCAGCTCCAGCACAGGCTCCGACCCCCACCACCTACTCTACTGGGTGGTGCAGGGCCCTCAGCTTGGCCGACTGTTCCACACCCAGAAGGGCAGCAGTGGGGAGACCCTGGTGAACTTCACTCAGGCTGAGGTAAGGGCCCAACTCTACAGCCACAGCTCAGGTGGCCCACTCTGCCACAGATTCACACGTGGACATGGGTACCTGCTCCAGCATCATTTGCGCACTTCCCTGAGCCTCCTGTGGTCCAGGTCATGCACGCCTTGCCCTCCAGAAGCCACTAGGCCCAAGCAAACAAGGCTTACTATTCCACAGTGAGAGACAAGTATCACCATGAAAAACATCCAAACCTGTAAGAATTTTTATGAGTTTATTTGAGCCAATCTGACAATTGCCCAGAAGCAAAATCTCAACTGATTAAGAAAATGCTCCATAGAATGGCAGTTATTTTATATCCAAGGGGAAGCTATAAGGGGGTTACATAAAATTCACTGATGATAGATTAGGGAGGTGGGGGAAAGCAAAGTGGGGAAAACCCTGGGATTGGATAAAAAGGAAAAAGAATAGACACATACTTCTTTTACGTAGACCAGTATAAGACAGTTAACAGTTAACAATTAACATGATAGTAAACCCTGGCTGGTGTAGCTCAGTGGATTGAGTGCCAGCCTGAGAACCAAAGGGTCACTGGTTTAATTCCCAGTCAGGGCACACGCCTAGATTGCAGGCCAGCATCCCCAGTAGGGGGCATGTTTCTCTCCCTCTCTTTTTCCCTTCCCCTCCCTCTAAAACTACATAAAATCTTTTAGAAAACAATAAACATGATAATAATGACATATTCTGGTGGAAGATTGTGCCCTGAGGGGTCTAGAAAAAGGGATTGCTCAGACATTCCAAAGCTATGTTATCATAGGTACAAAAAATAGACAGGCTCAGTCAAGGAGGATACCAGCCTAGGACATGACTACCTGCCATGGCTCACTTTTAGTTAAGAAGTTTTCATTTCAGAGCATCCTATGTGGTTACTTTAGGTCTCTGAGTTTGTAAGGCTGCCATGCAGGATACAGGCCTCCCCTGAGCTTGTCAGTTTAATATGTGACCCCTTTTTTGTCCATACATCCCCCTTTTGGTCATAAATTAATCCAACACATGTATTGATGACCAACCTTTTGTTTGGATAACAGGGTCCCATGGTGTTAGGAAGCCTCATTCCTAGAAGTCTTAGTTTGTCTTGCTGAACAATGGACCACTGGGAAGGGAGCAGGACTGTAGCCCTGGATGGAATTCAAGGCTGAATTTTTCTCAAAAAATGAAAAGCAGATAAATGGGAGTCAATCAGGTCTTAATAAAGGTCTGATAGGCCTTTATTAAGAAAAACACTCTGGCCCTGTCTGGGGTGGTTCAGTGGATTGTGAACCAAAAGGTCACTGGCTTGATTCCCAGTTAAGGCACAGGCCTGGGTCGCAGGCCAGGTTCCCAGTTGGGGGCATGCAAGAGGCAGTGTATTGATGTATCTCTTGCACACTGATGTCTCTCACCATGTCTTTCTCCCTCCCTTCCCCTCTCTCTAAAAAAGGGAAGGGAGGGAAGGAGGGAAGGGAGAGAGGGAGGGAGGGAGGGAGGGAGGGAGGGGCTCTGGATCATTTCTAACCTATCAGCTATGACCCAGGTTTTGCTGTCTGTCTCACTTGTCTCTATTTTCCATCTAATATAACATTTTCTTAGTTTGAGGGCACACCATATACCTTTTCAGTTTTCATAATCTGACCATGAGATGGGTTTCTATTTACTATGCCCCATACTGCCCATTGGAAGCACTCAGGTGTTATTATTAATCTGATTCCTCCTAGTTGTACAGGTGGAAGCTGTAACCTTAAGGTTTAATCAGAGCCAAGGCTGTAAAAACACAATGTTATAAATTACAATTACCATCTAAAATTCCAGAGGCCAGGAGGACAGTAAGTTTTTTTTAAGAGAGATAAACATTGATTTGGTTTTCCATTTATTTATGCATTCATTTGTTGATTCTTGTATGTGCCCTGACGAGGATTGAACCTGCAACTGTAGCATAGGGGGGCAACACTCTAACCAACTGAGCTATTTGACCAGAGCCAAGAGTTTCATAAATAAATTTCCTGTGCCTCAGCCCCAGTTACAGAGAGCAATGTTTTTATAGCCATTTCAGCTTCTATAGTTGGCAGTCCCGTTATCAGTGAGTTTGCGTTTTTGTCTCCTGGATTAAAATAATTTAGACTAGGGACATTGATAAAAGCAAAGGCAGATATATTGAGGTTCTACAGAGGGTGAGAACACTGAGATAGAGCCTCAAGTTCTTTACCCCAAATGTGGGGCTTAGGGATTTTTAGCTTTGGGAATGTGGAAGTTGCATGGTTAACCAAACAGCATATAGTTTGGCTGGCTTTTTCCTTTTTAAGAATGCTGGGGTCCCACTGAAGTCCAGGTATACATCAATAAACAAAGGCATTCTGGGATTGTGCAAGACTTATGCGATGCAGGAAGGGGCTTCCCAACCAGGTATTGAGTGTTGTCTCTGGGGTTTGTAACTTGGCTTTAGATCTGAAAACAAACTTAAGAGAAGTCATGGTAGTTTCTGTCCCATTGTTTTATAGCTGCCTATTGATGACTGTCAGAGTTCCGATGGGGCTTGACTTAACAGAGCAATTTAGGGGAACATTTTATTCTACCTGTTTCAGTCCCTGTTGGGTTAGGAGATAAGCATATTTCCATAATTAGGTTCTGGCATTTATATATAAAATTTCTTTCTTTCTTTTTCTTTCTTTCTTTCTTTCTTTCTTTCTTTCTTTCTTTCTTTCTTTCTTTCTTTCTTTCTCTCTTTCTTTCCAAACTAAAGCCAAGTTTATTGTTTCATTTCTTGCACTTGAAGTATTCCTCGATGACATCTTTGCCTAAGACTTGGCGGGAAAAGAGTAAATTTCTTTCTTAATATTCCTTTTCCACTAACCTTCTACAAAAACAGCTTATTAGGACAAACTACTCCGGTTTAACTTCTCTTAAAAATATACGCGTCCTTTTCCTTCTCTTCCCAATAGCATTTCTTCTAAAGTTCAAAACAGAAACCATAAAAAAGATATTAATAATACAAAAGTTATTTTATACACCTTCAGCAATTATTAACATCTGGGCTGTATACACAAGGTTTGAGAAAAGCCTGAAGAACAAGTACAGTTATTACTACTAATGTTAGCAGACAGGTAAGAACAATCAAATGGCCTGACTGGTGTGACTCACTCAGTTGGGCAGCATTCCACAAAGTGAGAGCCCACTGCTTTGATTCCCTGCCAGGGCACACGCCTGGGTTGCAGGCTTCATCTCCGTAGTTGGGGCACTATGAGGCAACCAATCAATGTTCCTCTCTCATATCTATGTTTCTCTCCTCTTTCTCCCTCCCTTCTCCTCTCTCTTAAAATAAATAAACAAAATCTTTTTTTAATCAAAGTTCAACATCAATTTGTAGGTATACAGGTCTTATCAATGTCTTGAGATAGCTGTCTACCTCTGATGTCAAAGGCTTCTCATCCTTGAGAAGTCTTTGATCTTCATGGTAGGTGGAGGCAAGTGTCAGAAACAGGGGCAGATGTCCATTCTAGGTTAGGTACCTCATAAGGTTCCTTCCAACAATGTTGGAGAGAGTCTTTAATTAATGTGTTTTTTTCCAATGGACAAAAATCTCCTGATTGTAAGTTGTGGTCTTCAAGGTGTTCATCACCTGGGAGCACACTGTGAAATGATAGTTACTAATTTATCAGTCTCTGTAGGCTGATTAATGAGCCCATGACAATAATGCAGAATGTTTCCTTTCAGAAAAGTTGATTTGCATGTCCCTTCATTCAGATTCCTAGAGTGGCTACTAGCTATTTCATAAGGAGAAATGCTGTTTACCAAAAGCAGATTTCAGGTGGAGGATCAGTATAGGGAAAGCTTTTGGCCAAGGGAGATTAAAAGCTTCTGAAAATTACCTAGTTGAGTTTTAATTGTACTGTTTTATGTTCTACCAATCCAAAGAAATGGGGATGATAAGCACAATGAAAATAATGTAGAATGGGCCAGATATTACACGTGGATTGCATTATTTGCTCAGTAAAATGCATCCCTCAGTCGCAGTAACTCAGAAGGAATTCTCCAACTGGAAATTAATTTTTTCCTAATAATGTACAGACCATAAGGCTGTTGCTTTCCTGCAAGGAATGTCTCAACCCATACAAATCATAACTAACACATATTTGTACTCATGAAATGATAGTATTTGAATAAAATACAATTACTGTCCCTCAAAAGGATCTGAAGAAAGTGGGAAATGTTCTTGAGACCCATGGAATGATTTTCCAGGGTTATTATTGGATATATAAAATCTGCTGTACACTTAATGGGCTGCAGTACCAGTAATGCTGTTTACTTCATGAAATCATCTCTCAGGACTCTGTTTTAGCTCATGCACATGTTAAGGTGCAGGTAATTAAGCCCCAACTGGTAAGATTGGTTTCTGACTGGGTTCAAGCCATATCTGTTTGCCTGGGACAGAGGTTCCCTCTTTTTGTTCCCATATTCTCTTTTCTTCTGCAGCTGTCCATTTAAATTATAAAAGAGAGTCTTTTGTTGGTTTAGTAGAAAGCAAGGAATAATCTCAGGTCTGGATAACTTGGTTGTTTAATGTTGCTGGTCTAGCTGCAGCATCAGCTAAATAACTTCCTTTTGCTTCCATGGTGGCAGTTTGAGAATGTCCTGGAATTTTTGATAATTGCCAATTGTTTTAGTTTCTGTATGACATGTAATAATTCTGCAACCTACTTTCCATTCCTTATGGGCTACCCTGAGAAAATTAAGAAGACTTGCTGCTTTAACAATATTCTAAAGTTATGAGCTATGCCAAAGGCATAACTACTATCAATGTAAATATTGGCTATTTGATCTTTGGCCAATGGACAAGCCCGAGTTAGAGCTATTAATTAGGCTTGTTGGGCAGATCTTATTCAGTTAAACAAGAATCTTCAATTATGCCCACCAGGGAAGTTATTGCATATCCAGCTCAGTAATGTCCCTGTTCATCTTTCAAAATCCATCTGTAAATTAAGTCAGCGTTATCAACAGGGGTT